AGATTGTGTTTCTCCTGAAGATATGACAAACAGATAACAGAATACTGGGATGTCCCAGAAACAGATCACAACCCAGCACCCTTTTTCATGTACAGCACTAAGTTATACCAGAGTAGAACAGTTTCAGTGAACTACAGGTTAACTAAAAGCTATGCTGACAAGAGCATTTGGAAAACTCAACCTGATAAAAGCCAGTCAGTCCCTGATGCCACAGCACAAGGAATCATAGGTGCCAGAAGAAAAACAAGATAGGAGCATGCCCAATCCCATCAGCCAGATCTATGTGCTGGAAACCAGCAGAGCACCTCTTCCAGGTCTCTGCATATCCTTCAACAACTCGTGAGCTGCTCAGACCTGGAACTATCAGGAGACCAGCACTAAAGAAGAAAGGGGCTTATGAAATCTGTGCTGATCCTTCGAAAGGCAGCTTCTCTTTCTCACTATTCACAGAATGAGCCTGGTTTTCTTAAAGCATGAGTGTAGAGCAAGTTTGATACCTGCACAATGATAGTGCATCTCTCACTCTACAGTGTTTTCTACCAGGTATCAAAATTCCTTCCTCAAATATTGGTGGAGTCACCGTCCCTGCAAGTGCTCACACACCGTGGAGACGAGGCCTCAGTGCCATGGATTAGTGGTGGCCTTGGCAATGCTGGGGTAGGGGTTGGACTGGATGAGCTTAAAGGGCTTTTCCAACCTGGTGGATCTTATGATTCCATCAGAAAGGAGAAAGTGACTGACTAAAGCTAAGCCGAAGCAGAATGCCTGATTTCACACATCCACTCTTTGGTTGGCTGTGCCCATTTAAAGATTCATCCAGTCTACTAAAAACCAACAGACTACGCTACTTTATGTCTGAATGGCAGCTCTTTTTTTCTATGATGATATTAAGAGGATTAGCCTCAACCAAATTAGTCTTTAATTGGTTTACAGAGAAAACAGGAATATGCTAAGAATTCACTTAAGCAAACAGTGTCTATTTTATGCATAAATACCGTAATCATCCACTTGTTACTTTAAAATAAGAACAAACAACATTTGCATAATAAAACTGTTTGCAGATCTTAATGAACGTGTGCCATTATCCCCTCCTGGCTTTCCTACACAGTCAGTGTACATCTTAGGTCCAATACATTGAGCTTTACACCAGTCATTGCTTAAACACTTCTGACATTTTAAGTAATCCATATTAGCACTGGACTCATTAAAAGAATCCTTAAATACAGTTAACAGTATTTTAGAGCTATCAAACTTATTAGGATCTACCAGAAAGAAATAATGCAAACCTGATCACCCTGTAGATTCTGAGAACACAAGAAATGGGCCTCACAGATCTACAAATCACTTCTACTGGAAGCTAAAGGATTTGACTGACGTATATTTCCCAAGCTACATCTGTCATCACGAGTCTAAAAAAGCAACCAGCCCACTGAGCAAGAACTGGCACTTTGGGAAATGGCTTAAATAGCTCTGAGCTCTCAACTAGCACTTCTATGCTTCTTACATATCTGAATAGACTCAAATCGAGTGTGTTTCTTCTCACTTTCACATTTGGCTCAAAGAATGAAATAGAAAAAGGAAGACAAAAAAAAAAGGGGGTGAGAAAAAGTGACTTGAGAATTCCTCAGTACACCAGGGATTTCTGGACATTAGTGCTATGGAGAGTAAAAGGATGGGAGTGCAAAGCCAGCAGTACACTTTCAATCCTGAGTCACAAAGACAAATGCAAGGAAGTGAGCCCACAGGGTTCTGCCTCTGCAGGAGCCTCATTTTTCCATCACAGCATCTCCTACTTAGGGCTTTTACATTTTTCCAATGGCAATTTCAACCTCATCTACATTTTGTAGAGCACTTTACTCTTAGGCTGCTCCTAAGCAAATACATCCACTCACCTAAGGCATTACTTTACCTATGCCTAAAGTCTCCTATGACTTAGGAGACCTCCCATAAATAATAGTCTAACATTGGAATGAACCATGTATTTTGTTATATGTTAATATGCTGTTGGTTTCAGCTTTTGTTTAATAAACAAACCCCAACCAAACAACAAAAAACCCCACCAAACCCCCACAAACCAACCCAAACATTTGGGCCCTCAAAATTCCCCAGTGGAAGAACTCAGAAGCTACTCAGATTTAGCAGATAAGAAACAGTGCATACACCCTTTAGAGATATCCACAGAACACAGAAAACCAATGTTTTAATGTATGCTGCTTCATTCATGGAACCTGCATTAAAAAGCTGGGAAACTAACTGGAAAAAGGGAAAAGATGAAGCTCTTCTCATACTACAGAATGGCTGCCTCTAGGGGTTTCCTACAGATGCTATTTGTGAATCATAGAAAGGTTTGGGTTGGGCTGGAAAGGACCTTAAAGCTCATCCAGTTCCAACCTCCTGCCACAGGCAGGGACACCTTCCACTAGAGCAGGTTGCTCCAAGCCCCTGTGTTCAACCTGGCCCAGTTGCTGCCCTGTGACCAGACACACTCAGCTCTACATCATGGCTTGACACTCGGGTATGCCACTGTGGCTCTGGGGTGGCACAAGTCCTTTGCATAGCCAGCTCTGTGACAGCCTCCCAGCAGCAAGAGACCCACTGCTGACGAGATGATAGTCAAGACAGATCCAGCTACTGGTACTTTAGTTGTGGAAGGAGGAAAGTAACTGAAAAGAACTAATTTAGTCTCTGATTTAAGAGCAACTTCATTTAAACTCAATGCAACGGAGCCATCAGTTGAGTTGCATTAAAAGAACGTGAATGTCCTTGAAGCACTTGGCTCCAAATCAACATCCCTTAGAAAGCCAAAACAAACCCGAGTTCCTCCAAAGCCCACAGTAAAACCTCTTTGCTGCTCTATCTCAAAACTCCAGAAACAACATTAACCTCATGCACCAAACTAACAGAAAGAAAGAAAAAAAAGGAAAGGGAGGTGGTAAAAAAAAGCTCTCACAATCATAGCATTTAATAAACTCTATTCCATGACAATTCACTTAAGTCCCACCCAATTTCATTCATAGAGATCCATTTCCTCCACTGGTCAATGTTTGTATCTTTACAGGCAGAAATTCGGCTTTGTTACATGGTTCATCTGGATACAATAGTTATAGGAAAAGAACTCAAGTTACACAAAACAGCTATATTCAAGCCATCACAGAGCAGAAAAATGAAATTAAGAGAACCTAATTAATCCCTGTAATCTTGGGAAGGATGCTGAACAACTGCTAAAAGCAGACAAGTTACTCTGGTGAAGGAATGTTGCCTTCAGCATTTCTTCCAATGAAAAGAACAAGCAAAGGCAATGTCTATATCTGGCACAACCAAGCACGAGCTGTCCCATGCAAACACTAAGTCCAGGAGCATTGGCCAAGGAGAATCAGAGCAGAATCCTACCTGAAGCCTGAAACATGTTGCCGTTATTAAGTAACATGAATGATGAGGCTTTAATGCTGTTGAACCCATGAGATTCCATGGGGCTGAATTCTCCAGTTCATAAAATTATAATTAAAAGAAGAAAGTGCAACACAGGCACCAGCATCATGGTCTGCTACGCACTGACCTCCCCGTGCATGCCATCTGTCTGACTGGGGGAGCAAGCACACTTCTATGGCATTACATTCTTCTCTTTCCAGCAAGGCTCATTACGAGACAGCCAACCCAAAATGTCATGGTGATTTCTCTGATGTAATCATCAGGCACCTAGGAAATGAATGGAAACTCCCAATCCATTCTGGTGACACAGATTAGGAAAAGAAGGTGCTCATCATGAATAGCTGACATAATCTTTATGGCTTCCTGAGCCAAACAAAAGAAATAGAATTAAAAGCAGAACAAACATCATATGGGAATGACAGGAAAAACATCACCACCCAAAGCAAACCTTTAACATCTCAGTGCTACTGGGGGTTCCAAAGAACAAACAGGTCAATCAAATGGTCAACTAATTGACGTTAAAATAAAAAGGAAATCAAACGGCTACAGAACATGGTTTGCCAAATGATGCCCTTTAACCCTTAGGAAAAAAGAACCAAGTCTGAAATGCCAAGGCTGAGCCTGACCATGAGGTTTTACGTTGGATACCATCTGAGACCTCATGGTACTACGATGCAGAAGGGAACTGTGGCTGGGATCACCCTGAAGCTTTTTCTTCTTGTATTTGTTATATTTTCCTGAAAAGGAATTAATCTGTGAAACTAATACTTACTCTCTTAAGAGGCCTTATTTTATCTTTTTTTTTAATCATTCTAATGCTTACAGCTGATTAAAATAAACTCTTTACAAAGAGTTTCTATACATGTAACTGTGTATGCACCTGGGCAGTCTATATATAACCCATTCCTGATGGTTAAACATTCCCATCTCATTCCCTCTCTTAGCCTTTACTCCACAGTATGGTCAAGGATTATTAAACGATGCTCATGTCCTTGTTATCTGACCACACAACCAGCGCATACAGAGACTCAAAGGGAACACATCTCGCTGCTTTTCCCTCTTGGCTATTTTCCCCAAGCCCCAAAGAAAATCAATGAAACAGATCTCCTTTTAGCTACACCTACTTAAACCTGACTGACAGACGATCACATTCCATTAGAGACACACAGGTTTAGTTCGCACACACATCAGTAACCGTGACATACGGAGACAACTCAATCCAGCAGAACTGCTCCCTGCGCCTCGCACGTACCACTTCACCCTCAAAAGCCCAGGCTGAGAAGGGGTTTTCTGGTCAGCACTGGGTGAAATATCAGCAAAGCGGCTGCTCACAACCGCGTCCCCTCCAGCGCACCCACCGACCACCGACACACGGTTTTGAAAACGTTATTTTCACCAAAAAGCCCCAAACGGGGCTGGAAATCCCGACACCAGCAGTTACATAAACCGTGCTAAAAATAACCTCCGGAGGCGCGGGGTGGGCAGCGGGGCCGGGGTCGGGTCCCCACCGGCCGCAGCCGCTCCGGAGCCCAACAAGTCGCCCGAGTGGGTCGCGGTTGGCCCCTTCTTACCACCAGCACGGGCACGCCTGCGGTGAGCGAGTAGAGCAGCACCGGGGGCACGGCGCTGCGGTCCTCCGGGCCCGGGTAGGGCTTCCGGTACGCGCCGTCGTAGCAGAAGAAGCCTTGCACGTTGACGGCGAAGGTGTCCGTGTACTCGAAGTAGTAAGCCAGCATCACGGTCCCTGCCATGATCACCATCTGGAAGTAAAGCATGCTGCTGAGCGGAGAGGGCACTCGCATGTACGTGGGCTCCGGCGGCCGCCGCGCTCCGCCCGCTCCCCGGCGGCATCCACGGCGGCGGTCGGCAGCGCTGGGCACAGGGCAGCGGGGGCCCTGCCCGCCGCTCCGCCACCGGCTCCGGCTCCTGCAGCGGGCGGAGCGCGGCGGCGGGAGGAGGCGGCTTCGCCCCGCCCCGGAGCAGCCGCGGCAGCCGGACCCCGGCCCGGGCGGGAGGAGGAAGAGGAGGAGGAGGGAAGGGGCGGCCGGGGGCAGAGTCGGAGCAGCCCCACCCGGAGGACGTGGTTAAGGACCCCCCCCCCACCCTGCTGCGGGTTCTTCGCTGGACACCGACGTGCACGAGCCCGTGCGAGGGGCAAAGGATGCTCCCGGAGCACTGGGATGTACCCGGATCGTGGCTGTTTGTAAATGGCTCCAACTGGAAATACAGACTCTGAAATATATGGGTAGCTATGAAAGGAAGCGATGTTTAAAGCCTTCATGTAAGAGCTGTAAAGAAAACGGGTAGCTGGACATGAAGCTATCCTCAGCCAAGTGACGTCCCAGAGTAAGAGGGTAGTCTGCTCCAGGGCTGGGAAGAATTATGCATAGAATCACAGAATCCCAGACTGGTCTGGGTTGGAAAGGACCTTAAGATCATCCAGTCCCAACTCCCTGCCCTGGGCAGGGACACCTCACACCAGAGCAGGTTGCTCCAAGCCCCTGTGTCCAACCTGGCCTTGAACACTGCCAGGGATGGGGCAGCCACAGCTTCTCTGGGCACCCTGTGCCAGCGCCTCAGCACCCTCACAGGGAAGAGCTTCTGCCTTAGGTCTAACCTGAACTTCCCCTGTTTAACTTTGAACCCATCACCCCTTGTCCTATCGCTACAGGCCCTGATGAAAAGTCCCTCTCCAGCATCCTTGTAGCCCCCTTCAGACACTGGAAGCTGCTCTGAGATCTCCACACAGCTTCTCTTCTCCAGGCTCAACAGCCCCCATGTTCTCAGCCTGTCTCTATACAGGAGGTGCTCCAGCACCTGCTCATCCTTGTGGCCTCCTCTGGACTTGCCCCAACAGCTCCATGTCCTTCTTATGTTGAAGACACCAGAACTGCACACAGTGCTGCAAGTGGGAGTATATACAAACACAAAAGAGTTCCATTTGAAAATACGTCTATAGCTCATACATATACACTTAGGGATAGTCGGCTGTGCCCAATGCTTGTACAGCTTCACTGTGTGCAGGCTTTATTCTGGATTCCCAAAGCCAAGAGTTAAAAAGTCACTTAAAGGTCATCCCCGCCTGCCCCAAAACATTATATGGCCAGGAAACAGTCTTCAAAGGGACACCTTCACCTTAAAGATTCCATTTGGCTACTTAGCAAAGGCTGTTAGAAACAACAAATGAGACCTGATTTATAATCAAATGGTTCGTAATGTGTAATCGTTCTTCCAGTGCTGTACTTGGCCTTTAAGTGTTCATTTCCCTCTCCCCTCTGAAGAATCCTGTTCCCATTCAGTGATGCTAGTCTCTCTGCATTTATTTTTAACCAGGCCTAGCAGAACACACTCTTCATGCCTGGATTCCACATCCAGGCTATTTTTATGTGTTCTTAACATACTCCCCAGAAGCAGCCAAAGTGTTCCATTTACATGGCACTCTCCAGACTTCCTTGGGTAGCTCCCTTACACTGTGAACAGTATGTAGTGAGACATGAGACATCTGGTGGTCAACTCTGCCTAGCACAGAGCTTATCGTCCTTATTTCTTTAGCACAGCCCGGTAGCCATTACCATACACATAAAAACCTAAATTTCATCCCAGAGATTGAACAGAAACCAACCCCCCCCCCTCAATTGTTAGGACCTAAGGCCTGATCCAAAGACCAAAGTCAACAGCAGGACTGCAGTGAGCACTAGGCTCAGCTCTTCTGTTCTGTTTGAGTGGATGGACCAGAGAAACTGGCGTTTCTGTCAAAAACAGGCACTGGAAGGAATCGAACCTTTCCCAGTAACCAGCTAATAAAGTACTCCTGCACTTTGCTATTACAAGCCAACTGCTATTACAACTACACCAATGGAGCTACTGCACGTAGGAGTTAGAGGGTATAAAAGTCCTGGTTTTACAAAACCTGTTTGAAGCTGCTGTCAGAACCTCTGATGGATTTGGGATGGCAGGTTTCGGAAGGAATCTCTGCAGGTCACATAGTCCAACCACCTGCTCAACACAGCTCCTGCTGGTGCTCAGTCCAGTCAACTGCCAAGTAGCTCAAAGGATGGAGATCCCAGAACCACCCTGAATGTCCAACCACTGACATGGAGAGAGCAGTTTTGCTTTGTACTTGAGACACAAACGTTAGCAAGTGTATGTTGGCTGCCACTAAGTGAAGCACAAGACTTAAAGGAATTATTAAGGGGCATGACAAAGAAGAGAGTTTGTCTTTATGCTTTTCTGTTACTCTACAACGCTGGCACTATTTAGCCTCTAATATTTAACTTGAAAGCATTTAAAAACATGGTGTGCAACTAACAATCTATTGGATACAAGATTCACTTGTATTATTTGGCTCAGTCTGGTTCCCATGCTTCAAATACTCCAGGTGGACTGGCCATTTAGTAGAGTTACAAACCAAAGAATACAGGATATAAGGCCAAGAGGAGGTTTAAAGTCACCTTCCTTGGTAGTCATCTCAGAGCTATCTGAGTCAACACAGGTCACTGCGGAAAAAAAAAATAAGGCACCAAAATGTCAGGCTCTGGTTTTCATCCCCAAAAAAGTGGTGCTCCATGGGAAATGGATTGATTATCAACTTGGTGCTTCACTGAGGAATTAAGGTAATTAATTATTCCCCTTCTCAAACCTCCAGGTTTTAGAGTAAAGATCATTAGGTGAGAAAAGCAATGAGGTCACCTTATTGAGTAGCGAGGGGCTCAACTATGGAGTAAATGAGCAGACGCCAAAAAGCTTTAAAGCAGAAGGTATATATATAAAAAAAACAAATCTGTATTTTCTTTCTTTGAAAGCCCTGTAAACTTACTGTTTCTGAAAATACTGGTGGACTTTTATTTCTTTTTATAGAGGTAAGACCTGCCCTGGTACTGTCATCCCCTACAGAGTCATAGAATCCTAGACTGGTCTGGGTTGGAAAGGACCTTAATATCACCCAGTTCCAACTCCTGCCAGAGCAGGGACACCTCACACTAGAGCCGGTTGCTCCAAGCCCCTGTGTCCAACCTGGCCTTGAACACTGCCAGGGATGGGGCAGCCACAGCTTCTCTGGGCACCCTGTGCCAGCGTCTCAGCACCCTCACAGGGAAGAGCTTCTGCCTTAGATCTAACCTGAACTCCCCGTTTCAGTGTGAACCTATCACCTCCTGTCCTATTCTTTCTCAGCCCCTTCTTCCTCCACTCCCATTTAAAGCATTTTCTTGCCTTAGGACAAGTCTGCAAGGCTTGGTTTCTTGCAGGTGATGAAGTTCAAACCTGGATTCCTCCTATCTGACTTGCCCCACTTGAAAAACATACATGCACTTGATCCTTGCTGCTGCTCTCCTCATAGAAGTTGACTGTTGCACGATGTAGGCTGCTATTTGTTTCAACAAAGAGGGGCAGAAATGCTTGGCAATGCATAGGGGAGGCAGGTCAAAGCTCCAAGCTGCTTAGACGAAAGCAAAAAGACAATCATATTGCTTTTTTTTAATACTTTTACACAAGGCCTGCTCTTGCCTTCCTGGACATGCAGGTGCCTGATCAAGTAAAACCAGAGCTTTACTTTTTATTATAATGAACATGATGTTTATCTGCTGCATGGTTCAATACGCAATCATGTATTAAATCAAACAAACAGAAGCAAGAACACAGTCCCCAGTGACTAATGCAGCCAGCTAAATATATTCTGCTAAATAATATCACAGTATTCCCTGCTGCTTTATGTCCGTTCTATGCAATGACAGCAGAATGGCAGAGAAAAGCCCAGAACCCACAAGTTCTGTTTCAGAAGGCTATCGGTAGAATTGTCAGTTGAAACTCAAGTGACAGACAGGGTTTGGAAAGCACCTTTTTTGGGAAGACCACCATTGATCTCAGAGCGGGAGTCCTCCTGATATTCCTCATGGATTTATCTTGTTCTTTTCATTTCCTACCTAATTTTAAGTGAAATACCAGCTCAAGAGACACAAGTGTAAGCAGTGCAGACAAAGGGAAACCTTAGGTGCACTGTTCCACAATACTTTGAAATAATGACCTTCATTACAAGGGGATCTTTCCAATTTCAAACCACATTCACTACCCTTTCATGTGCTTACATCAGCACCTTTCACAGAATTTTCTAGTTCTATATTGCTATGGCAAAAGGGAATAAAGCAACAAAGACAATCCAAGAAAACCTCCTCAATGGGAAGGAAACTAAGAACTGGTATCAAATAATCCACTGCTTTTCCCTTTCTATTTACCTCTTTCATGCTTTCCCAGAGTGCCAGCAGCTGTCATGGGAACGCCGTGGCTGCTTCCCTGCTACATCTCCACACTACTACAATAAACCAAGCATTTCTGAAGGGAATGCTGCATCCGTGTTGATGGCACAGAAGCAAGGAAGAAACAGAATGAACCAAAATCTCTAGATACCTCCTGGCTTTATCCAGGAAGGAAACTGGGAAAAGCCCCCTAATTTGGCAAACAGCAGGCAAGGTAGTACTTCGTTATTTGATAAAATTTGGCTTTACTCTGCCAATACACAACGTATTTAATATATTTAATGGCAGATACTGTTAAGAGATAACTAAAAGGACATTTGTTTAATTAAATTGTTTCATGATATGCAGTGATTTAAGTCCTAAAGGCCAGGGCATGTAAATGCTAAGATCTATGCTTGTAGTACCATCATAATGCAAGAGAAAAATCACTTTCTAGCAGTTGGAGCAGAAGCAGGACAGAGTCAGAAATGGGGGCTGTGCCCAGAACACTTGCAGTATGATTCAAACAA